AGAGACATGTCAAGAATATTACACTCTCTTTTTTTTTTAAGAATTTTGTTTTTCCGGCCCAGGCTGAATATTCTTATTTTTCTGCCGATTTTAGGCTGAAAATATTCTTGTATTATTCTTAAATTATAGCTTATGAAATTTCCGTGTTAGAATTTATTGGGGTATACGTACATGTATTACATGTACCGTTCATCGAACTGTCATTAGCGTTGAACATTTTGCTATAGCTAGTGCAGGTTTTTTCGTTTTGTTGGCTAGTTTCGCCGTTCAGAGAAAGGAATAATTTTATACGGTTAAGTTAAAAACATAAAATTGTATNTGCAGGTTTTTTCGTTTTGTTGGCTAGTTTCGCCGTTCAGAGAAAGGAATAATTTTATACGATTAAGTTAAAAACATAAAATTGTATTGTATTTACAGATGTTTCAACACACAAAATTATATCTATCCTTTCAAAATCTCAGCCTCGGCTTTATTCTTAAAATATTCTTAAAATTTCGCAAATTTCAGCCTCGATATTCTTATAAAATATATTCTTATAAAAAAAGAGAGTGTAATTAGAATAAGTAAACAAGCTTGTGCATTTCCGATAAATAAAAAGTCTTTGAGCGGAAATTTTGATGTTTTGTTTTTCAAGGTTGAAATGTTTAAACAGTTTACGATGTCTGTTGTTTAATATGGACTGTTTAACAGTACGCAAGCAACGCGACTGCAAGAAGAAAGATTCAACGCCAAGTGTCAAAGTAGTTTTCTCTAATGACAAAGTTCTAATGGGTGCCACCTTTACCTGCCCACCTGCCCACCTGCACCACAAGATTCATTGCTTCCGGCTCTAACGTAAGGATGTAGCCGTATAAAGATTATAAACTGAGCCTTTACTGAAATTGAAAAGACAGTTAAGAGAGTAATTAGTCTCAGGGAAGAGAGAGAAAAACATTATTGTTATCAATAGAAGAAGCGCAATTTTAGCCAGAAAACTTTATATAATATAACTCCCTGAAGTTGTTTTCAAATTTTAACGTGGCAATTATCATTTTATTCTGTTAGTTAGCATTTCAAATAGGAAGCATGGGGTGTATAAAGAATTCTCCCTTGACAATTAAGCCAAGTCAATAACGAGTGGCCGGGATCTTTTATTAACCGTATTGACTGATTGATGTGTGCGATATATCTCTTAGTTTCGTTCGCTCCTCTCACCAAACAGAAATTTCGTATTCCGTGCAGATCTTAGACAAAGGCAAACATTTCAGGGAAATTCGAAACTTTTGAATCCATTTATAGCGGGTAAATGAGACGCACCTGTTCTGTTTAGAGGCGTTCCGGGGGGAAGGGGGGGGGGGGTCAGATTCAGTGTCGCATGGATGAGGCGCTTTCAGTTCTCCTTCTTGGTGAAAAACCGTCATTCTTGACCTTTGATATATGCAACACCTTCAGTCTTTATACAGTCTGACTTTTTTTCAGAAAATTTCCCTGGTAATAATGTTGCTCAAAAAGCTACGAAGGACGAAAAAAACGGAGATAGCAAAACTCCGGCAAAATTAAGATGCTCTTGTTGTGCGAACGGGCACACTAGAATAAGTTAGCTGATAACAAACTCGACGTTCAAGAGACTGCAAGCATTCTATGATCATCCAGCTTACATTAATTTATAAGACATTCCTACTTTTGCCTTCCAGCCAGGAGCAAAAATTTTTCAATAAATTTTACCAAAAAACATCCCACTTTGAATAAGTAATAGTCTATAATGAGGTTATGTGAAATGGAGAACGCAAGAAGCTTGGATCTGAAGATGATTCCAATCAATAGCAATGGTATTTGATATAGAGTTTCATCAGTTGGAATTGAAAGACAACTAGTGCCTTGTATACAATTTTTTCCTTACCGTGTACTGAGTATTCATGTCGGTGCAAATGGAAGTGAAAGTACATTTTTAAAATTAGGAATCTAAGTGAAGCCCTCATAAAATGGGTGCGTCGAGTTTTCTTGGACTTTCAGAACTCTAAATTGTAAGTGATCGAATGCAAAGCCTTAAACACCATTACTTTAAATTAATTTGCATCTACTTAAAACGCCCGTAGAGTTATTGTGGAACAACTAAGTTAAAATTATGATAAAAATTTTTAATTAGGTAATTTCAAAACCCTCGTACATAGAACATTAGATCAGACAAAAATTTTGGGGTGGTATTCTAAAAATGTTTAGCTGGGTTTTGATATACTACTTTCTCCTCCATGGTAAGGGACAAAATTATTATCTTAACTTAAAACTAACCTCGTTTTTTGGTTTAAGTGGAGAAACGCCGTTGATAAAGGATGAAGTTATTACAAAGAACAAGAAGGCAAAAGATCGAGAATATGCTCCGGTCATATTGATCACAGTGAAGAGAAAACTCATGAACTGATGTAAAGAAAATCTGCCAGCACGCTGTATTGAACTTTTGTATTAATAACAAGTAGTATGTGGGTGTAAATTGTATTATTCCGAGGTAACCTGTCATAATTTGGCGACCAGAAATTGTTGAAAACAAAAGATTATTCTTGTATAATCTGAATAAAAATAAACGAGGGAAACAATAGCACTGAAACAAGTCATCAGAGTTAGATTCGCTGAAAATCAAGATTCTGTTGAATTCCGAAACTAAGAAAGACCAATTTTGGGATAACTGGGGCATTTTCCAGAACTAATAACTTATTTTAAGGATACTTAACAGGGTAATAAAGATGGTTTTTCCTTTTCACTGGCGGCCATGATTACTTTACGAACTGCACTGAACAATAGGATATTATACAAACAATGTTATAAGTTTGTTTTAATGAAAGAAAAAAAGCCGTAGTTTGCAAAGAAATCCAACTCAGTAGCACATGCCTTTGTTATCGGAAAAAAGCTGTGTAAATATTACAAAGTGTTTTATGTAATGGTTTCGAAGCAGCAAAGAAAAGTTGGTTTTAAGTCAAACTCGAACCGCTAATTGAGAAAAAAATAAGCATTTCTTGCAGCCGTCAGCACAGTTGCCGAAGAAGGCAAATTAGTAAAAATATTAACTGCCCTTTCCCTTGCAAATGTCAGGAAAGGAGAGCGAAAAAGTTCAGCTCTTTTTCTCTTTTGCTGAAGCTCTCTAACACTTGTGATACTCAGATTCCAAATGGGAGGATGGTTTGCTTCAGTTTGGTATGGAAAAAAAATATCCAAGAGTCTTCCTCGACTGAATCGTACCTCGCAATTTTAAAAGGATGACCATGTCTTAGGGGAAAGAAATGCGAGTGTTACTAGTTACACGGAGAGAAATGGGAATGATTCCCCGCACTTAATCGATCTTAATTAATCGAGGGGTTTATTTCAGAAGCAACGAAATGGGGGGAAGGGGTCCTGAGCCATGCAGAGATTCGTGCCCACGCCCAACTACATCTCTCGGTGACGTCACAGCTAATGGTAGAGTCCAGGAATGACCGAGCCTAAAACGCCTGGGGGAACTAGGCTGACATGAAGTCAGCAGATGGATCCAGATGGAGACGAATTTTTAAAAGCGTGGAAGAGAGGGAAAATTTGAACAGCTGAATTTTGTCACGTGGTGCGTCAATCGACTGCATAAGTGCCAGATGTAAAGCCGCCAAGGACGTGCAGGTGAATACATTGGAAAATACCCAGTGCTTGAAAGGTGAGGTTAAATAAGCGAGAAAACCACTCAGGAGGGTAGGAAGTTATGTCAAGGCAAATCATACACATCGTTATGCGGCTGTTCTATTCCAAATTATAAAGTTTGATATCTTATTTTTAAACCTTTATTCATTACTTGAATAGCCTTTTGAGTTTTGATCATAAGAGACCGCCGATTGTTCATGTTATGAAAAGGGACCCTTACCTTTGTATATACATATACAAATTTTCACAGAAATATTGGATGGTGGACCATTCATCGCTTTAAAACCTAACACAAAGGTTCATTCGTGAACATGTTTAGTCTTTTTATCCTTTTTTATTTTTCTATGCTGCCTCATTTTTTTTCCAGCGACAATGCTAAAGTTAATCTTGCAGACATGTTCAACATAAAAAATGGAGCGAATGTGTTTTATACTTGACGCCATCACCAAGTACGTTTTTCACGATTTCTTAAAATCGTGTTGAGCTACTGAGAAGGGATTTACACATGCAGTAGGTCCTCAAAACGGAAATGTGTAGTAGTCATGAATTGTATTGCAAACTATTCTATTGCGCTGTTGTGCATGAAGCCAAAATGGCCAATTGCTGCAACTCAAGCACTTTGGCTTTTTCTCTCCGAAGAAAAGAAAATTATAGCTACGGCAAATTGCGCACGATCATCGCAAAAAAACTTTTGCGCGACCGTAAAGGCGAAATACTAATTTTTAAAATATTGGAAATTTACCAGTGGGTCTTTTGTGCGCTCAATCTTCCACGACGCCATTTCCTAAATGTTTTGTTCCTATTTGAAGATGTCTAGGAAACACAGGTTCTTCGACTGCAACTCGACTGTTCTCGGAGGATGATAGAAATTGTTTTGATTCCAGATATGCAAAACCGAGACCAAAAAGCCTCTTGGTAATACCATATGCAAAACACCTTTCAAAAGCAAATTGATAACTAGGTTCCATCCAATAAAAATGATCGATGGTCTATTATCGAGACAGGTGACTTCCCAAAACAAAACTAACTCGCAACGAATTTTCTTTTGCATGCATCCAGCTTTTCAAATCTGCAATTTTTCTTTAAATTATTTGATTTTTTTCCTGAATATTGTCTTCTTATTTTAAATGTGATCGGGCAAGGACAGTATGTTCACTAAAATTTTCATTCTGGGAAATTAATTCCCAGACAAGACCAGACGAGATATTGGTAGAGGTGTTTATTTCACAGAACACTATTTACGCCACGAAGAAAAAGACAAAATAGCCAGACAAAAAATCTGCATAAAAAAGGCTTGAACGCCTTTCTTCAAATTCAAGAAATTCTTTCTTGACAGAAAGTCTCTAGCTATCACCGATCATCGTGTTTAATATAAATGCAGATGAAGAAAGATCTCAAAAAGTATTTGTCGAGTGTTCAAAATTAAACGGAAGTTGTATGGGATCAAGTAACGCAGATAAAATAAAAATTAGAAAACTGGGGCCCGTTTCTCGAAATTCGGGCCCGAAATCAAATATTCAAATCGAAATGTAAAGATTAAGAGCGAGGGTCCTGGCTAGCAAACTACTCCATTTTGTTTCATTAACTTATAGTTTTATCATGTAAGATGCAAAACTATTGAAACCTCTATCTTGCATGTAAACCATAACAGCTTTACGGGCCCGTTAATTATCGGGACTTTCGAAAAACGAGCCTCTGGATATAAAAAAAAACTCGAAATACTGATCAGGAAATGTAAAACAAACATCGAGGCACCGTCTTTAACTTGATAACATGTTTTAAAAGTGAATCCCGCCTTCAGTGGCCTTAGTGCTTAACCAAATGTAAAAACAATATTTCTCCCATTGTGGCTACACTAGGAAACGTTGGTTGGAGAAACATATGCATTTTGCGTTTGTGAAGCAAGAATGATTCTGGCTTTATTCAATAGCATCTTGTGAATAACAAACTGGAGCATTGTAGATTCCGGGAATCGTGGAGGGCAATGCAAGGACTAAACTGGAAGATTTAAAAATTTGGCCGATGTTAACGTCCCATTGGAATTTAATTATCAAAGCTTTCAAAAGTAACCATCGGTTATATAATTCCCATCTAGCTTATTTCCAGAAACAAAGTAAATAAAGAATATTCATCCTTTTATTAAGCAATTCTCCTTTAAGTGAAACGCGTCTGGATTCTTGATGTGTAGAAAAGACACAAGACTCTGAAACTAAGTTTTTTCTTTTGCAGTCCCGAAAGAGTATCTATGTGCAAGACACAGGGACTGGACTATTTCTTTGATATCTAGCTTGGGTTACTTTGCAAATATTTCTTTGTCCTTAATAACCAGGAAGAGAACAGAGAGAAGCGACACACAAAGACACAAACAGAGTGAATAAAAACGGCGGACGTCCTTCTGGCGTTCTAACACACCTGAGCCATCCATGGAGCCCTGTTTCACTCTCTTTTGTAAAATAGTCAACATGTTTCAACTAGTACCTAAAATAATTTTATAGTTCTTCCTTGGCCTTTTTCAGCGAGACCGTCGCTTTTTCCTTTATAAATTTAATTAGGTCATCAAGTCCTCTCTCGCCTTCGTGTTTGATCGGTTTCTTCTTATCGTTTGCCGGAGCAAAATAGATGGTTGGATAACCCTCTGCGCTATATCCCGGAGGAATGTCGTTGGCAGTAGCGTCCATTTTAGCGATGACCAAGTTGGTTTCATCTTTAAAGTGTTTCCCTAGTTTCTTGTAGGTGGGTTCCAGGGCCTTACAGTGACCGCACCATGGCGCATACAGCTCAAGTAGCACATCTTTTTTGGGATCCATCACGATTTCTTCGAATGTTTTTCCTACCACAACTGTGACGGGACCTGTATTTTTCTTTGGTACTGGCTGAGATTTCACTTGGGGTTTGAGGTTTCCTGTTACGAAAAATGTTAACGTTTATAAGTTATCTGCGTAAAGGAGATATTGCCAATTAAACAGGCCAGGGCTCGAAAAATCCCCGTCCGCTCGTTCGGGACAAGTACATTTTCTTGCTAGGCAAGCAACTCTTTAAGCTCACTTTCCTCATGGGCAAAGGTCCAGGCAAGTTATCTTGTAAATAAATCAATGATTTTATTTAAAAAAGTTGTCAATCGAACGACTTCAATTGTTTTTCAGGCCCTGTAGGGGCAAAGCAAGGGGAGGATGTGCGGACTCCCATTCCTTCTCTTTGTGTAAAGACTTACTTACATTCACTACAATCAGGATAAATTATTAAACTTGAAGCGGTCGTTCATAGTTTTTTGTTGCTCCCAAACACCTGCGATGCACGTGTTTCGCCCACCTTCTACTGTGAAAGCGAAAACTAAGACGCCAAGGTAAAAAACGTGAAGATATTGTTCTACTACACGAGATGTGCGAATGCCCCCTGAATTGCTTTGTAGATGATTTTCTTAGTGACCAATTTCAGAGGATTTGGAACCTCCCTCTTCTGCCCGCACCCTTCCCTGGCAGCCTCCCACCCAACTTTGCAAAAAGGCTTGGCACTTTTGACACTTTGGAGCGAAAGGCTGCTTGTGCATCTAGCCCTGGAAAAATAGTAAACAGCGGCAGCTATGCAACAACAACAGCAACTACAAAAAATACATGAAGCACGGGTTTACCTTCTTTAAATTGTTCCACAAAGTCACGCAAGCTGTCTTCGCTAAATTCTTCATCAGGTTCCATTCTGTATCTCCTGTTCAACTCGTCAAAGCAACCCACGCTAATTTCCTCTCCAGAATCGTCCAGTCCAAATTCCTTGAGGTCGTTCTCAAACTCTGCTTCATCAGCAATAGCAAACGTGATGTCACGATGCTCATTGGCCACTTTCAGAACCTTTTGGCGCCAAAACTCTGTGGCTAGAAAGAGATGCAAGGAAATAAACTAGTCAATACAGGCGCAGTCTAATGACACGATCACGCTGACAAAGCCAACTGATAAGTGAAAATAAATTGATCACAACACAGGAAAAGCAGCAGAAAATGTCCTGTCTTTTTGGGAGCGCTTTGGGCGCGCACTTCCCAGGTCCTAAAAGCGATAGGGGTTCAAATTTTTTTTATAAAGGTTAAATTTTCCTTTATTTAATAAATTGACGACTTTTCGTATGGTAGAATAATTATGGTTTACATCTGGTTTAGAAGGTACAGTCATTCCTGGCAGCGAAAAAACACCTTTATAAAAATAACAGCAACACTAAGCTGAAAAAAGTCAATCTTTCATTCAAACACACTGCGGTTTCTATCACAAAAAAACAACCAGTTTTTTTAAAGAAGTACTTTTTATTACCAAAAAAGCTAAAGAACATCGACTGCCAGTCGGAAAGGATACTTCAGTGACATACATTGCAGTGGCCTGAGATAACAGCCGACATTTCTCGACGCTAATACTGCAAAATGACGTCAGAAGAACGAGCCCAGAAATTCCATACTGATGACGTGTCACTACCCAGAACTAGGAAGTGCTTCTGATTGGTTGAAGAAAATTTCCCTCGCACGATCAATCAGAATTACTACCCAGATATGGGACCAGGCAACGAAGTGGGGGCGGGGGGAGGGGGGGGGAAGGCAAAGAATGGAGTGAAACAGCAAAAACAAATTACTCCCGCCGGTTCGCTTCACGTGTCGATTGTTTTTTCCGCCTTTTTCGTCCACTGCGGAGCCTTGTCCCAGGCTAGGGAACTTGTGGTGGCGTCGCGAGACATCGGTTGTTTTTTTCAGGCTTATATTAGAGAACTTAAGATTTAAGGATGAGGGCGACTACGAGTACGAGATTTAACTTAACGTTTTTTCGGGTACCGTCGAAAAGAATTCAACCCCCGAAAGCTTCATTGTACTATTTTTCACCCGAAAAATTAGTAGGGTTACTTTTATTGGAGAAGGTTTAGCCCTTTCCCGGTGGCAAAATGATTTTCTAAAAAACTGATAACTTGTTGCCGCCACTAGGACATTAGCGACCTTACGATCCGACAACGGCGACGTCCAGGAAAACCTTGCTTAAAAATAGACTCCGCATCCTTTCAAACCATTTGGCGATTATTCCGAGTCGCCCAGTTACTTAAAAGAAGGAAATTTATGTTGAAGCTGAAGAGAGGGGGCCGCACCTTAAATCATACAGAGATAGTAGAAGTTTTAACGCCCTGCCGTTCCCGTCCTCAAAAAACTTTAATTTTTTGGTCATTTCACGTCGTAGTCGCGCAGGGACGGCAAAGAGATGTGCAAAAAAACCGTGACGCACGTGCAGAGGTGTTGTTTTGCTAACTAAACCCATTGATTTTTGACGTTGCCGTGGCCGTCGCCGTCTTAGTTTCGTAAGGTCCCTTCTTTCGCTAAAACTCGCAGTAGAATGATGACGGCTATCACCTTTTCCCGCCAAAGTGACGATTGGTTCACGCAAGAGCACTATAATTAGTACTGAGACAATCTCGTACCCGTAGTCGTCCTCTTCTCAGAATCTACAGCTCTCTATTATAGCCTTTTAAACCTGGTTTTCACTGATAGTGTAAGCAAAAGATCAAGAGTCAAAATTTAGCCCACCTTGCCGACCGTCAAAGCTGAAGTCAACACCATAGTAGACAACACACAGAGGCCGTTTAGTGTACACTTTTTCTTTGCTGTGTAGGCTCATCTGCCCCACAAGTGGAATCTGGTTGTCTTTATAAAACTTTTGAAGATCTTCTGGTTTGGGGTCTTTTCCCTGATGTTAAAGGAAACAATACACAATTAAATGCAAATTTATTAAATGCTTTCAAATTGCCATGATGAAAAAACGTGAAATGCAGCTAAAACGACCACCTCTCATATTAAAAGCGACTGCGACCACTTTTTTGGATGACAGTTTTCTATTGTTTTAAACCTGTTGTAAGCGACCACTTAACGCATGGTTTGATCCCTATGTTTGCTGTTACTACACTACTCAGATTATGCAATGAATTTTGGAGATGACACGAAACTACACTCATCGGAAATTATTGTATGAATTGCCTGCTATGAATTCTCTTCCAAAACACAGATGTGTCCAGACCTATACTAGGAAGAGACCCACTGTGGTTTGATTCTTGCAAGCAGCCACTTCTTCCTGTTAGCAACCACTTAATCTTCACATTTTGGGTGATCAGTTACGAGAGGTTTGACAGTATTTGAAAATGATGAAAATGCTTCCTCCAACAAAATTATTATAGGCTGTTGTGATATGTAGAGATTTAGAACATATTAAATTATTTTGTTCTCAACATTTCATTTGTTGAACAATCATAGGAATTGAGGCAGGTGGGTGTTACCCTTGCTCCTCAATCTGTTCAAATCATAAGAAAGCTGAATCCGGTAATTGTTAAATTATTCAATCATTCAAAATAATTTTACTTTAAGAACAAGCTAGCCTAAATCGATGTTTAGTTCACAAATTCAATTGCCTGTTCCCCACCAAATTCGGGACACAAAGAGATGTTTAGTCTACATGTAGCAGATATTCTTCAAAGAGCAGTTTCACCCATCAAGTGATGTATTTTCGCTGTTTTTGCTATGTTGTTAAAACGTCTGAAATTTCCCGCCATTCTCCCCCGCTGTACTAAAACGACAGTGCCTTTTCGAGTGTTAAACTGAACTATTGACGTCATTTCATCAGATATCAATCACAAACATCTTTCCAATAATGAGGACTTAGCCAAGGGATTTCAGCCAATAAGAGAAAGAGAAATATTTTGAATGAATCATAATCTTTGACCGTGACATGTTTTTGTTTACCTTAAACACAATGTGTTTGTCCTCATACTTTGACCTGAACTTCTCTGGTTGAAACATCACAACGGAACTCTCTGTAATACCAAAATGCTTCTTGGCTGTAGCATCAAAGGTATGTGCAAAGTTATAGTCATCCCTGATGTCATTATTGGCTTCCAAATACTGCTCCAAAAGTGAGTCACTTTCATCTTTAAAGAAGCCCATTATAACAACATCATCTCTTTCTTTCATGAAGTCAGTGACTGCTTTGAGTGACGACTTGATCTTAGAGCTTGGACCAACCTGAGAACGCATGTAGTCTTCAATGGCTAAAACGGAAAGGAAGTTGTAAGTCACTTTTGCTGTAATCTCCTTTTTGTGTTTTCATGTACAGTTGTACAGTAACACTATACAATCATTTTGGGTCAGTAATATCTGTTAGTAAGAACAGCGATAAATCTGAAGGCCAGATACAAAATCACACACAATGAAAGTCTATTACATCCTGGTTGTTGCTTGTCATTTTATCACATTTTTTTCTAGTCAAAGTATAGTTTACTAAAAAGGGTTAATTGTGGTCATCTGCATGCAACATAACATTGACTATTTTCCAATTCCCCATAATACACTCTGTCTGCCCCCCAAATTTTGCATAACTTATTGTCTTAAAATGCTCTTGGGAAAATGCAATACTCCCAGGAGCATTTAAAAACAATGGTTTATGCAAAATTTGGGGGGCAAACAGAGTGTATTATGGGGAATTGGAAAATAGAGAATACAGGTGAAGTGCGACCTGTTGCGTCAAAAAAAATTACTTTTCTTGACGCAAGATGATCATATTATGATAAAGTATTTTGCTGGACAAGACTAGCCCCCATTGTTTGTGGGTGCACAAGATGCCATACAACTGACAAGTGACAATACTAGTAAGTGTGCGTCTGCTCACTATCTTGAATAAGGTGAATAGCAAAAACAATGGCTAAAATTTAGACGTCGGGAAAGGAGTAGGACAGTGATGTTGCAAACGTTGCTCAAACATTGATGTTCCTATCTTGGAAAACGGCAGTTAACTGATGAATCAGTGTATTGTTACAGCCCCTATTCTACAGCTTTTTACTGGTACATTTTGTATAAAAGAATTTTGGTACGTACCATACTGGTCCCTCTGTCCCTTGTACTCTGAAGCCTTGCCTTTGCGGAACACTTTCAGAGTTGGGTATCCTGTTACCTCATACTTCTGTGCCAGTTCTGATTCTAAGGTGGCATCAACTTTAGCCAATTTGATGGGTGGGTCATTTTCCTTTAAGGATTTGGCAGCTTTCTCATATACTGGGGCAAGATGCTTGCAATGTCCACACCTACGGTGTATCAAAAGAAAAATCGAAATCTGATAAGTTAATGTGCAAGATAAAGACAACAAATTAGATAGGTAGCTGGGATATGATCGTTTGGGTGAGAGTAGTCCTGAAAAAGAAAGTTGTTGACAATAACTAACATTTCGAGAACCTGTGCAGCAGTCGTCTTCAGAGTCAAAGTGAGTTACATCACGTCAGTTGATGGTATTATTAGATTATTTGAATATGAAAAATCACGACGTGAAGATAGAACTTTGCTCAGATGCATGTATACCATATTTACATGTATGTTGAGATCAGGGATCCATATTCATTTTTAATCAGAGTCGTCGGCCGGGCAAGTAAGCTTGACAGCATACTTGCCCAGTTACAATTTAAGTTGCCTGGACAAATGAGCAGAATTATAGAAAGAATAGTGATAAAATTGTGTGTAACTTGAACATTTGATCTGATTTGCACTATTTCCATTATAGTTACTAATAAAGGGTTTTAATAAAATAGAAAGTAAAACAGGCTACAAGGTTGAGGATAAACAGAGTCTGCTTACATATTATAAGTAGCCACGGTCTGTCCTGTTCAGTTTGCCTTAAGGCAAAAGGTACGCTTACATTTTTCCTTGTATAAGGCAGCACCTGGTGCCTGCTTTTTTTTTCCGCCTAAGGTGATGAAACGCTTTCTAGAAAAACACCACATCTTGATGAGTGCTGTCACATTCTCTGCGAATGGCCCATGATGCAGTTCTTCACAGTATGAAAAATGCCAACAATTAACAACATGAAAACTGGGCATGTGATCCTTTCGTGGAAAATACCGCACCATCAAACCTACGATTTTTGGAAAAGATTTTGTGCATGGCTGACCAAAACCTCATTCGTCCAAAGGACGACTTTTGGAGTTATCTCAATCGTCCATGCAAGATTGTCTGGTCCTCTGCGAATATGGATCCCTGTTACATAATAAAGGCCTAGCAGATTTAAGGTCACTTGATTTTTAAGCAATAATTTACAACCTCTGTAAATGATTTTACAACACCCCCAATATACATTATTCGCCTGAATTTGTAAAGAAGCAAGTTAAGTTAAAAAAATATAGAGAACAGGAAATATCAATATTAAAGGTGATGATGATAATGACAATGACAACGATTGACAACAACAACAACAATCACAATACTAAAAGCAACAAGACTTTCTTTATATACATGTTGTGCCATTTTCATGGAAGTCCAATGATGCTTAACAATAATATACAGCCGTTACAAGGTGCTGTGGTGTGTTCCTACTAACAATGAAATCCCAGCAGGTACTGAACAATGACTCAGATTCCTGATCGACCTCACATGGCAAACTAGGAACTGAAGGAGGTAACGAGAAGCAAGGAGGTAATGAGAAGCAACGACAAAAAGAACATTAAAAATAATATTGAGATGCTTACCAAGGAGCATAGAACTCAACTAGCATAAGGGATTCACTGTTAATGGTGTCAGTGAAGTTGTCCTTGGTTAAAGTGATGACAGCTTCTGGTGGAGGCTTCCAGTTTGGATCTGACTGCTCTTTCATGTATTCAACAATGCCTGTAGAGGCAAAAAAACACCTTAAAATAGGAAACCAATCTCACCCTATTTCTCCCAGGTCAAGTCTCAAGAGAAAACTCTTGACTCTCAAGATGAAGCCACTTTTATCTGTGAGAAGCTTACAGTACAAATAAAGTTCATTTGGTATTGGGAATAGTATTGTGTTTTAGAAAAAAAAGCGTTCAAGATTATTAGGTGTCAAATTTCCTTCCCTCCAAATATTGTTCAGTTCTTGTTATTTTCTAGTTGGATCTTAACTGTATAATTCAATCTGATGCTTCAAGAAACAAGTTTGAGGACATAATAACTGAACCCTTTCATGTTCCCAAACTGGTGATCATGTTACATGTACAACATGAAAACCTAACCTTAGCCTACATTAAGAACATAGTTTAACTAAAATAAAGCAGCTTTTATGTTTAATCAGGTATCCAGCAATTAATTATCTTTAAAGAATGACAACTTTCAACTGCTCTGTAGAAAGAATAGGATTATCTACCTTAAATTATAAAATGTACAAAAAGGTACTCATATTTTACCTAGTTAAACACACTGCACAACTATAGTGTGAAAACCTGTCAGCACATCTTGCAAGGTGTACAAACAACAGGCATTGTTATATGAATACACCAATAACGCTGGGTAAATAACTATCAAAGATCAACTGGTTTGTTGTAATCATCAACTTAAAATCACTCTCTATAACTGACACGGTTTTTGTGAGATTGATGTCATATGTACATGTGAGACTCTCGATATTTATTAATAATAAACTCTGACAAAGTCAGTGTTGTGTCATCGACTTAAACGTTCTACTGTAAGTGCATTGCTGAAATATTAAGCTAAATAATTCTTATAATTATCAAAACTTTCAAACAGTACGTTAAACATTTTGTGAAGAAACAATACTCACATGGTTGTGGTTGACTGTAAATGAAACTTAATGAACAACTTCTAGAGTGAATTTATGCTTTGCTTATTAAGATTTTTAAGACTATCTGGTGAAAATAACATGAGTATTCAAAGGTGTGCCTGAAATAAACCCTCCAAATTGCCATCCGTTTCCTTACAAAACAAAGGGTACATTTAATTTAGAATGAGCTCGCAAGTCACTTAAGGTTTTTCCCATGCACTCTTTTCTTCATTATTTATAGAACTATAAAAATGTAATTTAACTCCAGTTACAATGTAGTGATGTCTCCAAAGCAGGGCCAAGATCCTTGTACTGGGCCACAACAGACTCAACGAATTACAGGAAGTGCGTTTTGAATTTTCTCTCAACCTGATTGGCAAAACGACAATGGCTTTTTTCACAGGCCTATCATGGCATGTACTCAAATCTTGAAACATAGGTGGGGCCAGAGTAGAACAAGGACTTTAGCACTGTTTTGCAGATGGATTTTTGACCAGAGTTTAGTTTCATCTGTGGTGCAGGCAATGAAAATGTTACAAACATTTTCAAAAAAGTTGATGAGTTCACTATACCTTCTTTATGCCGAGGACCATCGTACTCGTATGCTGTTCCCTTCCGGAAGATCTTCAGCGTTGGGTAGCCACTAACATCATACTTCTGCGCAAGATCAGACTCCACAGTGGCGTCTACTTTTGCAAATGGCACAGGAGGTTTGTTATCCTTCATTTTTTTTGCAGCTTTCGAATATTCAGGAGCTAATGACTTACAATGTCCACACCTACAAAGATAGATTTAAAAGCATATTTTCCTAGTAAGCGCTTGTTGTTCTTTGCTCTAACAATGGGCAAAATTGTGGTTTTGAACAGTCTAAAATACATGTGCAATAAAATTAATGTTATTAAGGCAATAACCATGTCAAAAAATGTGTTTTCAAAATATTCATAATGTACTTGTAACATAAAACAAAGAGCCCTGTATTTCATAAACGTTAGAATACAACATTAACAGATATTTAATAGCAGGAGGGTAATTAGCAGTTATAAGAAATTGTCTCATTAAAAATATTATTCTAATATTATTATGATTACAACCAAATGTATTAAATAACCTTGTGCTTAAGTCTTTGATTTCTTTGATTTAAGCATTAAAATTTCCGAGTTCTTTAATTCTAAAATACTTTTTAAGGAAAAAATGTTTGCCAACACTGTTGATTCTCAAGAACAATTTACCCGCATGTTAACGCATTGTTGAGATCAACCAACAACTATTTCGATTTCAAAACACAATGATGTGCCTTTTCATTACTAAAAAAACTTATCAAGAGAATGTGTGGAGAACAACTGCTACAGCAGCATATAGAACTTTTTCAAAAATCAGTGTGTAAAAATTCTTTTCTAGTCATGACAAAAGCTAAATCAGAGAAAAATAAAGGTGCAAAAATTATGTGTACACAGGACAAAACACGATGATAACATACCATGGGGCGTAGAATTCTACGAGTATCACATCTTTTTCCTTTACGACGGAATCAAATGTTTTTGAAGTCAGAACCAGCACATCGTCTTCTTCTTTGGCCTCTTCGGACTCACTAGTTTCTTCAGAAGAGGAATCTTGCTCTTTCGAGTCACTTTGCTCTCCAGTGTCGGCATCCTCAGTCCCCGTTCCTTCTGCTTCTGCAACAGTCTCTGTCGCTTCACTGTCATCTCCGTGTGAAAAAGACGCTGAAAACGCGACCAAAAAGACTAAAAGAAACCCAAACTTTTTTGTGTTCATCTTGCAGGTTTTGGAGCGAGTGTGTTATGGAGATTCCCAGTCTATTTCAAAGAACATCAACAGCCAATCAAAGGCAGCCATGTTAGAATACTATTGGCCAATCAGATGGCGCTACGCGTCTTCCCGGGACAATCTATTTTTACCCGCGAAATGTCACGTTATTTACGTGACAAGCAACTTATGTCTCTCACAATATTTGTAATTTATGACCTATTTTATCACTTACGACTCGAAAACGTTTTGAGAAGAAAAACTAACAGCCAGGAATTGTCCTTGTATGTAAAAATAAAAAAAGTTACCCTTCCCCCTCTTTAATAAATTCTGTATGGGCTCCTGATTCTGTCTGAATGTCATAAGCATGGTTATAAAATTTAAAATATCTTAGATGCTTTCAACAATTAATTTCCAAAGTTAGTTGCCATAGTGTACTGTAAACAGTGAACGATGACTCTTTTCAACATTAAAATTTTCTAGATTTCGCGTCGCGCGTGGATGGGTTAGCGCGGCGGAATCTTTCATATAAAAAGGAACGGCTACCAAGCAAAAGTTAATTGGGTCAGGTTAGTTAATTTCCCGCGGGTTAAAATTGTCCATCATAATCCTGGAAATGGCAGGGCACGATTGTGTCAAGGTAAGTCTGTGTTTTGCAAAATTTGTGCTGCGAAATATTGTTCTCCTGACATTCTTTGCACAGTGCAATCCTCTACTCATTCCGTAATACGAGCCAAATCATGGCGAATGTGTGCCGAATTTCACCCATGTGCATTTCGGCTGTCACTTAGGAACGCATGGGGTAGGCGCCCGTGCGGTATGGAAAGAAGCCTTACGTAACCTCCAGAAGCTTAGCTTGTTTTCTTGAACAGATAACCTAGGCTTTAATTCGCTCAGCTCTTTGTACTCGTGAATGTAACCAACGTCCTTCCGCCAACGTTACTCGATCACTTCTGTCAGTCACTTAGGTGTCCCGTGAATGGAGGTTAAAACCGGGTTTCAGGACCCAGAAAAGTGCCCCCCTTTCCACTGAATAGAGGTGTCCTTTTAATAGAGGCAACAGATACAAAGATTATGTGAAAATTTTTCTGGGAACAATTATTGTGTCCCGTGATTGGAGGTGCCCTTGAATAGAGGTGTTCCAAGGGATAGGTGTGCACTGTACTTAATTCAATCTATTAATTAGGGTTTCGTTCATGAAAAGTTCAGCATCTGAACCATGTCCTTAGGTGTTTGCAAATAACAGTCTGTCAATCTATTTTTTTTTTGTTTGTTTTGTTAAAAAATGATGTCAACAGGATAAGATTTGAAATTGAGCAAATGTAAGTGTTATAGGTCTATGCCCCATCAAGATCCAAATCAGCAACAAAATAACAGTAATTCACTACTTTCACATTAACCATAATACACCTTGTTTACCCCCCNAACACGATGATAACATACCATGGGGCGTAGAATTCTACGAGTATCACATCTTTTTCCTTTACGACGGAATCAAATGTTTTTGAAGTCAGAACCAGCACATCGTCTTCTTCTTTGGCCTCTTCGGACTCACTAGTTTCTTCAGAAGAGGAATCTTGCTCTTTCGAGTCACTTTGCTCTCCAGTGTCGGCATCCTCAGTCCCCGTTCCTTCTGCTTCTGCAACAGTCTCTGTCGCTTCACTGTCATCTCCGTGTGAAAAAGACGCTGAAAACGCGACCAAAAAGACTAAAAGAAACCCAAACTTTTTTGTGTTCATCTTGCAGGTTTTGGAGCGAGTGTGTTATGGAGATTCCCAGTCTATTTCAAAGAACATCAACAGCCAATCAAAGGCAGCCATGTTAGAATACTATTGGCCAATCAGATGGCGCTACGCGTCTTCCCGGGACAATCTATTTTTACCCGCGAAATGTCACGTTATTTACGTGACAAGCAACTTATGTCTCTCACAATATTTGTAATTTATGACCTATTTTATCACTTACGACTCGAAAACGTTTTGAGAAGAAAAACTAACAGCCAGGAATTGTCCTTGTATGTAAAAATAAAAAAAGTTACCCTTCCCCCTTTTTAATAAATTCTGTATGGGCTCCTGATTCTGTCTGAATGTCATAAGCATGGTTATAAAATTTAAAATATCTTAGATGCTTTCAACAATTAATTTCCAAAGTTAGTTGCCATAGTGTACTTTAAACAGTGAACGATGACTCTTTTCAACATTAAAATTTTCTAGATTTCGCGTCGCGCGTGGATGGGTTAGCGCGGCGGAATCTTTCATATAAAAAGGAACGGCTACCAAGCAAAAGTTAATTGGGTCAGGTTAGTTAATTTCCCGCGGGTTAAAATTGTCCATCATAATCCTGGAAATGGCAGGGCACGATTGTGTCAAGGTAAGTCTGTGTTTTGCAAAATTTGTGCTGCGAAATATTGTTCTCCTGACATTCTTTGCACAGTGCAATCCTCTACTCATTCCGTAATACGAGCCAAATCATGGCGAATGTGTGCCGAATTTCACCCATGTGCATTTCGGCTGTCACTTAGGAACGCATGGGGTAGGCGCCCGTGCGGTATGGAAAGAAGCCTTACGTAACCTCCAGAAGCTTAGCTTGTTTTCTTGAACAGATAACCTAGGCTTTAATTCGCTCAGCTCTTTGTACTCGTGAATGTAACCAACGTCCTTCCGCCAACGTTACTCGATCACTTCTGTCAGTCACTTAGGTGTCCCGTGAATGGAGGTTAAAACCGGGTTTCAGGACCCAGAAAAGTGCCCCCCTTTCCACTGAATAGAGGTGTCCTTTTAATAGAGGCAACAGATACAAAGATTATGTGAAAATTTTTCTGGGAACAATTATTGTGTCCCGTGATTGGAGGTGCCCTTGAATAGAGGTGTTCCAAGGGATAGGTGTGCACTGTACTTAATTCAATCTATTAATTAGGGTTTCGTTCATGAAAAGTTCAGCATCTGAACCATGTCCTTAGGTGTTTGCAAATAACAGTCTGTCAATCTATTTTTTTTTTGTTTGTTTTGTTAAAAAATGATGTCAACAGGATAAGATTTGAAATTGAGCAAATGTAAGTGTTATAGGTCTATGCCCCATCAAGATCCAAATCAGCAACAAAATAACAGTAATTCACTACTTTCACATTAACCATAATACACCTTGTTTACCCCCCCAAATTTTGCATAAATATTGTTTGCAAGTTCTCTTGGGAAGATTGTAAAATATCCTAAGAGAATTTGGAAAAAATGCAACACCTTTGAGGGTAAACAAGGTGGATCATGGGAATGTGAAAGTAATGAATACCAATAAGAAAATCAGCATTATTATCACTACACGCACCTAAATGACAAACTGCCCTCTCTAAAATGCTCCTTTTCGCAGGCCAAATGGCAAAGTGCTGGCTGTAAATGGAATTTGCAGCCTGCAACTTGATTTCATGTTAACAATCTTTCCTTATGAAATAGATTTGTACGATTTGGCCTTGTGTATAAATAATAATAATATAATCACATGACTTTTGTCAGGCATATAGTTTATTTGTGTCCCTCGTGGCATCATTTGCACCCTCACTCCGCTCGGGCGCACAATGATGCTACTTGGGCCACAAATAAACTATATGCCTGACAAAAGTCATGTGATTGTTCCTATTAACATTGTCACTGAATAAGAAATGACACTGTTTGTAAGAGTAAGGCATGAAGCATAAGTAATTCTTCACTGACTGCTGCACCCCAGGAATGATCTCCGCCCTCTTGTTTGTGAGCATATTTTGTGTATATATGTGAATGAATAAATAAATCTATTAATAGATCACCATATATTTGAGTGTAACAGGTATTAATATTTTGCTCCCAAGAGTGCACTGCTGCACTTTTTCTGGGGAGATACTCTTTCAAGCAAAAACAATTGATTGTCTATTACAGACTGTAAGTTACTTTTTTGATAGAATTTTTGTCTATATGTTTAATTTGATCAGATTCCAGACAACTATGAAGGTTATTCTCTGGACATGTTCTGTATACCAAAACATTATGAAAATGATGTAGAATCCATTTTGATACCAAAGGGGTTGATTACTGACAGGTAAGCAGTCTCCATGTGACTCAGTCACTCAGCTCCCTGAGGCTTGTTATGTGATATGCAGCATTGAACATCACTGCACATGGTAAACTTAATTGTATCAAAGACCTGAAAAGCTAGAAATGTATTGACCAAGGCAGCAGGACTATATCAAACTACCTTAAACTGCTGCTTATAATAATTTTTATTATTAAATTGTTAAGTCCTGGGCTTATACATCTTTGTAAGGGGTTTCAGGAGGGTAGAAAGTGGAGGGGTTTTTAATAAAGCCCCTAATTAGTAAGGGGTTATAGCTTTTATAATATATAAATTTATATGTAATAAATAAACTGGTTCAAGACTTCAGAAGTAGTGCATCATTTTATTACTACAGCTCTGTTTTGTGTGGCCAAAAGATGACCACGCTCATCAGGTAATACCAACGACTGACCATTAGATTACAACAACTGGCAAAAAAAGCGGAAATAAGGTTGCAATGAGATATAAAGCGTTATTTTAGGATATAAATCATGTGATTGCTATTTATAATTTGGGAGATTGTGTTACTTTTTTTAAAAACTTATATTTATATTGTATAATTTTCAGTAGTTTTGGTTCATTTACATAGTCTACATAATTTTAAATAATGTGATTTTTCACCGACTTTGCTTTGATAAATTGATAGAATTGAAAGGTTGGCAAGGAATATATGCTGTGATGTTGGAAAAGGCCCTCTTGTAGGGCTATGTGTATTAAAGGGTGGATATCAGTTTTTTGGAGATCTCATGGATCGTATCAGAACAATCAATGCCAGTGGAGGTGAAAAAAAGTTTTGTTTGTTTTTTTCTATGCACATGCTTCACTCAAATATTTCTTGTGCAAATTTTATGCAATTATATTTTACTGTATCACTGTACCCTTTTTATGACTTGAATAAAAAACGGAAATATTTCTTCACACGAAACTCTTTCTTTTCTTAATTTATGACAGAGAATTCAGTCCAGATGTCTGTAGACTTCATCAGATTAAAAAGCTATGAGGTAATTATCTTAAATTATGTTTACAGTCAAGCCTGTCAAGCGTACCCCCCAAAATTCCATTAATGAATTTATTATGCGAAAGTTGAGTACGTTGGCAGTTGTAGATTTCAGATTCATCTCTACATTCTTGCATGCGTAATGAGCCGTGAAATTTCTACCAGCTCAGTTTCCCTGAATAATTATTATTATTATTTGATGTAAATGCAGGATTGTCACTAAGATTTCAAGTTGCCGGGTAAATACAACAAGTAGGCGGTGAATCAAACGGCTAGGGATTTCTTTTGGTTCTATTTTTCTTCTATTTTCCAATAAAAGTAGCCGGGGGCCACTCTCTTAGTAGCCGGGGAAAATCCCCGGCCCCCGGCTCTTAATGACAACCCTGTAAATGTCTTCTAAGAATTTTAATTCAGTCAACGATTTTCAATCTGACCAAATACAGACAAGTTCTCGTAAATTATTCACTGTTCATTACGCATGCAGTAATTCCGATTTGAATTTGACACCAGTTACGGGAACGACTAACGGATTCATTTTTCAAATAATCAATTCATTAATAGAATCTTGGGGGGTACGCTTGACCTGTTTTGACTGTAAATGTTTCACTTTGGTAGGTATAATAGAAGTTAAGTCTAATGGTGGTGTTTGTGTGATGTTACAGTTCAAAATTATATTCAGGTTAAATTTTTTTAACCTACTGGTTGGTTCATTCTCAATTTCCTTTGTGTCCTAGCCCTGGTTATTCATGAGTTAGGCCTAGGAGACAAAGGGAATTGAGAATCAACCTGGATTAAAGGAAATTTAACCTGAATTTAATTTGGCTTTTAACATATAGACAGATGGACTTATTGTTTTCACTGTTTGGTTTTGTAGGATGATCATTCGTCAGGCGAAGTCAAGATTATAGGAAGTGATGATCTGTCATCATTAACTGGCAAGGTACTAAGTGAAAATCTCTTTGTAACTAGTTTATGTAAGTGGGGCATATCTATCTATGTGGACTAGAACAAGTTGAAAGGATCTACAACCAATTGCAAAAATGTTGAGACACTCTGATGAAAAAACGACCTTTCTTGCTTCAAATCGCCACTATAAAGTCACAGGTCTGTGAGATATAATACTGACCACCCCCCTCCCTTTCATTCAAAGTTGTTCCTCCAAGTTTTGAGTATGGTCTTGTATTGCTAGCAACTTTGATAAGGGGTGGAGGGGGAATCACAAGCACAAGATCATGGACAGGCCATTTAATCCAAAATACAGCATGTACAGTGTCTCAAGCACTTTGGCAACTGGCTGTAGAAGGGCACATGGCTCTTAATTGGGTTGGGGTATCAAATGTTAATGTGATCTTCCAGGTACGAACACTTAATGTGATGGGGGGTGGGGCAGAGGTGTGACTAAATGGAGTATTTCTCAGTAGTCTAGGAATCAAACTTGGCCAATTTTATAAAAAAAAGCCAGATAAATCTCTGTTGGGTTTTAAACTAAATTTGTTTAACTTTAAAATGTTTTTTCACATACCTTTAAAACCTCTAAACAAGATAGGATAATTTACACCAGGTTTATGTTAGTTGATTTATAATTATTATCTGTGCTCACAACCTGAAAATCAATTCTTCCCATTTCTCTATGCAATTCTTCACTCTCTTTGACTTGTTTGATCCCAGTCACATATTTATTTCTAAATCTCAAAGATTGAACCCAAATTTTGTGAGAAACAAGTCTTGATCCAGTTTCATGTTTCTCTAAATATTTTTACCATACTTGACTTGAAGGTATACAGAACAGCAGGAATAAAAGTTACTTGATTGATTACTAACTCATTTTTTGGTGTGTATTTGGTTGTTTTTGTTCTCCTTAGCATGTTCTAGTTGTTGAGGTAAGCTTTTAAAGTTTTGTTTTAAGATATCAACCCTTTCAAGGGAATGTACGGTGGCATTTAATGTTGTTAAATATGTACGTTGGAGATAACCAGCTATTGATACAATATAACACATTACCTTAAAGGAATCCAAGTATGTTATTTCCTTCCTAAATTTATTAGTTTGTGAAAAAATTTACATTCTTAAGATCTAAATATCTAGCTTTCTTACAACATCTAGCCCATGAACTAGGGGTGCATCGATTGATCTTTTATATGAATACGCAAAGTTTTGTCACAAATTTCTTGTGCCGTGTCTTTTTGGCCACTTAGCTGCTACATACATTGGGAGTGGCAGATTTCTAGCTATTGCAAAGCAATGAAATATGCGCCAAATTGAGTGATTTTTTAGTTTATTCCTTTATTTTCATTCCGGAATATTTATGGTTAATCAAATGTGCCCTAAGTAATCCAGTACTTTATTTTTAAACAGGACATTGTGGATACAGGAGCTACTATGCAAAAACTTCTAAACACATTGACCAAATTTAAACCTGCCTCTATTAAAGTAGCAAGGTATGGTTTTGTCTATATCATTGTTATATAATAATAATATTGTTTCTTACCTTCTCTAGATGGAAGAGGTAGCATGGCCAATGTGGTTAGAGCTCTGGAATTAAAACCCAGAGGCCCCAAGTTCAACCCCTGCCCTAATTGCCATCAGGATTTTTTACCAGCTTTTCTGGACACAGGCTGGCCCAGAGGGAATGTTCACGAACGGGACTCAGGTCCCATGCGAGGTGCCATNTATTATCTGTGCTCACAACCTGAAAATCAATTCTTCCCATTTCTCTATGCAATTCTTCACTCTCTTTGACTTGTTTGATCCCAGTCACATATTTATTTCTAAATCTCAAAGATTGAACCCAAATTTTGTGAGAAACAAGTCTTGATCCAGTTTCATGTTTCTCTAAATATTTTTACCATACTTGACTTGAAGGTATACAGAACAGCAGGAATAAAAGTTACTTGATTGATTACTAACTCATTTTTTGGTGTGTATTTGGTTGTTTTTGTTCTCCTTAGCATGTTCTAGTTGTTGAGGTAAGCTTTTAAAGTTTTGTTTTAAGATATCAACCCTTTCAAGGGAATGTACGGTGGCATTTAATGTTGTTAAATATGTATGATGGAGATAACCAGCTATTGATACAATATAACACATTACCTTAAAGGAATCCAAGTATGTTATTTCCTTCCTAAATTTATTAGTTTGTGAAAAAATTTACATTCTTAAGATCTAAATATCTAGCTTTCTTGCAACATCTAGCCCATGAACTAGGGGTGCATCGATTGATCTTTTATATGAATACGCAAAGTTTTGTCACAAATTTCTTGTGCCGTGTCTTTTTGGCCACTTAGCTGCTACATACATTGGGACATTGATTTTAATAAGCAGATTTCTAGCTATTGCAAAGCAATGAAATATGCCAAATTGAGTGATTTTTTAGTTTATTCCTTTATTTTCATTCCGGAATATTTATGGTTAATCAAATGTGCCCTAAGTAATCCAGTACTTTATTTTTAAACAGGACATTGTGGATACAGGAGCTACTATGCAAAAACTTCTAAACACATTGACCAAATTTAAACCTGCCTCTATTAAAGTAGCGAGGTATGGTTTTGTCTATATCATTGTTATATAATAATAATATTGTTTCTTACCTTCTCTAGATGGAAGAGGTAGCATGGCCAATGTGGTTAGAGCTCTGGAATTAAAAACCAGAAGCCCCAAGTTCAACCCCTGCCCTAATTGCCATCAGGATTTTTTACCAGCTTTTCTGGACACAGGCTGGCCCAGAGGGAATGTTCACGAACGGGACTCAGGTCCCATGCGAGGTGCCATCCCTACCCAATCCCACAACCCGTAAAGGTTGGCCACACCTTTGGGGTCTACAGCCCAGGCTATTCTTTTCGAATAGTGATATGTGGGTTCTTTCTGGGTAGTCTCGAGTTCAGCTCCTCTGTCATATTTATAAATAACCAACTGGTTTGCCTTTGGCCAGTTTGGATTATGTCTATTTTCAAATGTTTGTTTCTGTCTTTATTTTGTAGGCTACAATAAAAACTACTGGGTTACCAGTAATAGTGTGTTACCCCTTTATCTTATGTATGGGGGTCATAAGTGACCACCCATCCAAATATCAAGTCAGTTTTCACCATCAAAGTATTTTAGATGGAAACTCTTGTTATAAGCAACTACTGGGTACTAAAAAGGTTTCTTTGGGAAGAGGGGGGAGGAAAACTTGTTTGTCAATGTATCGAGGAGGAAGCTATCATTTATTGTCCTTGTTGGTCTTTTGCTATTGCTTTTGCACTTGCCCTTGTTGCTGTCGCAGTTTCAACCTATCTTTGTGTTGTTTGTCGCCATTTCATCTGTCTTGTATTACTCTCTTAAGGCAATGTACGTGTAGCTTGTCGGAGTCTACCCTAACAGTGCCTCAATTTTCCTCTGTTTTTGTGGATGTAAAACAAAGGAAGGATATGAACCAGATTAAAGAATTTGTATGTCTCCAGTAATTAATCACCTTTTCATTAATGGTTGTTAGCTTGTTGGTGAAAAGAACACCCAGGAGTACTGGATATCGCCCAGACTGTAAGTCCAAGTAATTTTTTGAATTATTTGTCATTTAATTGTTTTTGTACCTTTTATGTTCTGATGCATAGTATTTGAAAGGATTGATGAAGTCGGAATGATAAGTTGCAGCCATCATGTAAAAAAACCTTATTGTTAACAAACCCCAGAGTGGGAAAATAATCAAGCACTGCAGGGAAGAACCCTTTTTACTTGATTTGCAGATTCAAAAATGAAAACCACCTTGAATTGTACAGGATACAAATTATTTCACAGCACTACAGGAAAGAACTGCTCAGTAGCTTTCACTTAAATTTTCAGACTTAAGAATCTTTGTACAGTAAACAAACAACCACAGAAAGGCACTGCTCAGTAGCTTGTATTTGATTGATTTGCTATATGGCTTCCCCCACCTTGTTGCTCGTACTGCATTGTGAAAGAATATGTATTCCAGGAAAGTATAATGTACTGCTCTGTAGCATTCATATGAATGCTTTGAAACTTTGATCCTGCCTTATTGATGCTGTTTGCATGGTGAGAATATTGTGTCCTTCAGATTTTTGGCTTTGACAGTGATGACATCAAGGAAGCTTATTTTGACTCTGCTTTCTTTCAGATATTGGTTTTGAGATACCTGATAAATTTGTTGTTGGTTATGCTTTGGTGAGTTTATCTACAATTTAATGATTAAGTAGAAATATGTACAAGTTACAACCACACTATCAAAGCATCCACCTAAATTTGTTACTACAGGCAAATTATTTTGGCTATAACTTAAAGAGGGTCAATCATTTTCTTGTTATTAAAATCTTGTTAAAGAGACCAATTTTAGCAGCTTAGCATGAACAAAGTTTTTTACAGGGAGACTTTGCCCTGAGGTCCAACCCCTTACCCTCTTATATACTATTTGTGACAGAAAAGGTGCCCCTTGCTCATCCTTTCCATTGAAAAATGGTACCCATTCATATACTTACATACATTCTTGCATTGTAATTTAATTAAATTCCTAAAACAGAGAGCCTTTTTGTCATTTTCATGTAAAGTTAAATTAAGGCACTTCTTTTCAAAATATTTCAATAAAATGGCCTTTAAGTGTATTTAAATGCTAGATTTTTCTGCCTTTCCATATACTTCAACTCCTGAATTCCCTACAAACCTTTGGTATACAACTGTAGTTCCTGAAGCGTGAAAAAGGTATCCTTTTTGGGTGGAGCCTCCTCTTTGACTGTAACACAAAAATAAGTTGGTAAAAGTGTTATTGATGTCATTCTATTTAATTTTTGTTCTGCAGGATTACAATGAGTATTTCAGAGATCTCAATGTAAGTAATAAAAAAAAAATGAACGGTTATATCAATCAAGGAGACTGTGTTCAGCTGAATTCAATATATCCAGATATGTCTAGGACTGAATGCTAAAGAAATGCACTGGTGATCCATCCCAAAGTGTCTTCATGAAAAAATTGTTCCTCAAGGTTCTGTAGTTTTGTCAAATTTGAAGTAATATGCTTTGAGTGACAAAAAACACACTACAACAAAAAACAAAGCAAAACCTGCATATTTCACTCCTGGGCCTAAGTGAATATTAACTCATTTTGTGATCAGATTGCAAAAAAATGCCATAACAGGGGTGTAGCTACAATCCATAACAAAATTGTTGAGACACTTTCCTCAAATAGGGTAACTTCAAAGAACAAAACAATCCACATTTCTCCCCCCTCCCATCCATTCAAAGTTGAGGTGTTTGCTGTTTCCTACGAAGGTACTTCAACAGCAGCACAACATTGCACAGAGGGCGGGGGGAGGGCGGAAGGAAAAACTTTCTTTTCCCCTTTTTAAGATAATTTTATGGCAAAATGTCAGAAAGGCCATTTAGGGCAAAGTGTCTTCGGGAGAAATGCCGTTAATTGTGACCACAATAATTTATTATCAATCAAAGTGATTTTGATTAATGGATTATCTTTTTTATCAACAGCATATATGCATCATCAGTGAAACTGGAAAAAAGAAGTATGCCGTATAGTGAAATCAAAAGATAGTTAAAAAAACATAGTTACTGTGGATGATGTCTAAAACACTATTATTGACTGCTGAATGGTTGTGCTTGAAAGACTGTTTGACTATAATATAGGAGGTATCCTCCTCTGTTACATAATAGCACTACACATTAAACTGCCCAGGGCAAGGTCTTTCAAACCCTGCACTAGTTGTAAACAGAGCTCATGGGTTTTCATAGTAACCAAGCCCTTTAGTTACTGTGAACTGGCTCTCCTTTGGGAGGAATTATGAAGGGGGTGAAAATTAGGGAGAGACTGCATGAGAAAAAATGGAAAAGGGGGGGGGGGAATGGCGGAGACAGGGGCGTAGCTACCTGTATGTACGAAACTCATGCGCATACCTAAAAAAGTTGAGGGATTTTTTAATTATAAATTTTTTTATTATTTTTACTCTTATTAATTTTTTTCTTTCACATTTTTAATTTTGTTGTTGTTTCCGTTATATTTAACGGAGTTAAGACAAATTGAGAGAAACTAAGAAACCTCATGTTTTCGTGAAGCAATGGACTGATTTTTCCACACCTGAAAGTTGGATGATAATTACTAAAATGTGTGCAGATAGCAAGCAGGATGGTATAAAACATGAACATTCTATTTTTCACTCAGGCCTGTCTTTGCAGTAGACAAAGGAGAGCACGATTATGTCGATGTGAGTGCTTCTGAGGGTCAAATGTGGAGTTGGGGGGGGGGAAGATTTGAAAAATTGTGCGTACCTCTGGAAAAATCCTGGCTATGCCCCTGGTAGAGCTCCTCTGTCCTGTTCCCCCCCCCCCACCCTCCCTAGCTAGTCTTCACCTGACTTGCTTCACTCACCAAGTTTTTCCCGTTTTCCACTCTAACGAGCCTGTCCCTGTAAAGCTAGGAATAAACCTACTTCTCTGTATCAGTCAACAGCTACTGTTTGAGTTATTATAATGTCTTCTTTCAAATGTCTGATCTGTTATCCTTCATGATGATGTAATAGAGATATTTTTGCCCACGTTTGTGAAGCATAACCTATACTGTATCATGAGGAAATTACTGGTGCTTCTAATAAAATAAAAATCTTTTGTACAAATAGCTAAGTAAATTTCACTGATTAAATTTACTGTTATGTGTTCTACCCTTCCACTCCCACGAAACCAGTAAGGTAGACTTTTTATACAGGAGCCTAGCTTGTTCACAGACCTTCTATTTTCTCTTTAGAGATCATCAAGTGCACTTATGAAAATAGAAGTGAGAGTTCACTTTGTGCTCTCCGAAGTCCTCAAAAAAGAATGACAAAATGTCTGTGGACAGGCTAACAGCAGCTGAACAGATATTGGAAGGAAATAATTACGGATTGTTAAATTATGACAAAACTCCTTAACACATACACCAAAGGGACAGGCCCAATTATTACGCCAAGTCTCTTGTTTCTGCACTTGTTCTTGTGGCATAATTGGACATTAATTTTATTTGTAGACATAACAAAGCCTGATTGCAAGGATATATTAGGATCAATTACCTGAGATATTTTTTAGGTCTTCAAAAAACTAATTTAGGCCCTTTTGAAATGAAGGTTTTTAGGTAGATCTGTGTCTTGGGTATAAACTTTAGGTCTCATTCGAAAACCCCCTCCCACTATCAGTGAAACATTGGGTGCGCCCTAGCTATGGGGGCTTACTTTGCCTAAATCAAGGTAGCTTGGTTGTGGTCGTGTTGATAGGAGACATTGACTTACACAAATTTTGAATATATTACAGATATCAATTTTTCTTGGACCAAAGATCATTTGTTTTTGCTTCCTATCTTCTTGGTCGTGTCTGTGATGGACCTTACTTTGTTCCATCACAGATGAGGACCAAGAAGATAGCAAATGAGCTGAAAGTCCTTACTCTTGGAAATGAATATTTTAATCCATTTCAAAGAGAGCACAGCCTTACAGTAAAGAGAACCCACAGGGGGTACTCCTGGGAATTCTTGGTGGTGCCACGGGTTAGGAAACTGAGTGAATCAGGGTCTATTTAGGTCATAATACTTAGCAGACTGACCTGAAAGTTGATTCACTCAGTTTCTTCACCCTAATCAATGAAGTTCAGAGTCATTTGGTAGGGGGTCTTAAGGGTTTTAGGGGTCTTTGTTTCAAAGACACCCCCCGAAAAGGTGTAAAAACCATACCCTCTGGGGTGGCACATACCCATATGACTTATGTGAGGGAGTACCCTGCCCCCCCAGGAGAGAACCAACCAAAAAGAAAATGATCTGGACAGGTGCTTTAACTTCTATCATCTTAGGTCCCATTAGCTTAAGCATCAGTCAATTCCAGGTGCGCCCATTCTCCCCGGGCAATTGTGGGGCATTTACCCACTCAATCAATTTATACTTTTGGGCAACCGGGCCGACTTCTTAAAACAGGACCCGTTTAGTAGAGAGGGTACAACAATAATGGAACAGACCCGGTCCCGGGGTGGGGCATTAGCAAATTTTGCGAGGCCCAGGGATCAGGCATTTGCCAACCCTGCGGCCACTCCCACGCTTTTGGTATGCACGTGCCCTCCTATCGAAACATAACTAGCCATGGAGGATTTTAAGGAAACACTAGCACATTCGCAGATTAGCTCATCTGTCACCCCATGGATAATCCATGGTCACCCCACCCCACCCACTGCGACATTTCCCTTTTTAGTGTACCTTACATGACGGATTTGATGACGGATATACTTTCAAGAGGTCTGGGATCGACTACTTTTCAAAATGGCGCAGGTCGGAATCCCGAACAGAGTCTTCGGCCGATTTGTTCGCCCATTACAACGACTAGTTTTAAACTATTGCCAACGCGGTGGAAGCAGTAGAGGGATAAGGTAAGTAGCATATTTTTGAAATAACCAATTTATTTACGGTAATGATTTTAACCCATCTCCCCATGTGTTTTTTCAGGGAATATATAGACAAGAATGTCGTGGAGTTCGCAAAGAACAACCCAGAAGTTACTGTTTATGTCCGAGAAAGAAACGGAAAGCATCCTAGGATAGTCGCGAATTTTAGTAAGTGTACTTTTCGTTTGAGTAGCTGGGAAATGTAATAAGTGTTGTTTCTTTATTCTCTGCTGTCTTTTGTTTTAGTAAATGGCAACAGTAAGATAGTCGAGGTAAAGAACAAAACGCCAGAAGAGATAAAAGAGTGGGTTGAAAGACTCAGGAATGAATCAGGAGTTAAAGTACAGAAAATAAGACAATTTTGGCACACAGAAAATCCATCCATACAGGGAACTTGGACTCCCTTCTTAAACAAGCCACCATCACTTAGACGTTCAAATGTACATCACCTTGCAGCTGAAAAACAAGCAAGCGGTTGAGTCACGTGTTTGTGTCACATATTGAAGATGTTTTTGATCAAGAGGAACATGAAAAAAAAAATACGTACACCATAATACACAAGGCTGTGTTCCAAGACATTGTAGGGGGCCCAAAAGCCTTCCAATGCTTCATTCCAGGAGCCAGCACTGCGGTTTTGGTTTCCTTGTTACTCAAAGGCTAAATCAATTTGCGAGGGCCATTGGCTCAGCTAGAGAAAAACCTTGATAGACATGTCTTTATTAGAGACACTTCTCTTCTCCAACAAGGACCAAACCAGACACCTGTGTGATGCAGACATTTGGGTTTGTCCTTTTGATGTCTAAATAGAGGAGGTTTGACTGTTGTACATGTATGTAAAGCTTCTACTGAAAGATTAACTAGTTTGAATTTATTAGTGATACATGCTTATGATCCACTTGGTTTTCCAATTGCTGGTCACATACAGCAGATCTTGTGTATTTTACGCACAGCTCAGTCGTGTATGGGTTGACACAGTAAAATGATACTTGATGGACATGGCAGCTGATATTCATGCAACATATTGGCCAACTATCAGTCAATAAGTCTACCAAATCTTGGTTGAAATATCAGTCAACATTAGATGGCATTGTGGCAGACGGTGGATACAACAATTACGTATCACCCCATTTGTTCACCAATAGTTGGCTGATAGCCACGGCCACTATTTTGACCAATAATAATTATTGGCCAACATATCAATCCATAGGCCACTGACATTTAGCGGACACTTAACTTAACTAATACTTGTTCGACTCTTCGTCTGGAGTTATAATTCCTGCCCACTCAAAAATTCTTTTATCTTTGTAACCCAAGCAGCAATTTTTAAGGGACTTTAGAGGCTGTTATCCACCTCAATCGATCTGGGTAATTCTTCACATCAAACTCAGCCTTATTCAAAAGTACTGTTAAATTTATGTCAACATGTCATCTAATATGTTAGTTGTGTATTGGTCGATAGTTTAGACCTATACTTGGCCAAGGGGTGCCTAAGTACACAAGATCTGTCAGAGCTACAGCAGATCAGGTTAATAAGAAGAAAATGCTACTGAAAGATATTTGAACTGTCTATTTTTTTGGAAAAAAGCAAAATACAACAACACAATGGCGAGAAACGTTTTTTACTTTTATGAGTTTGGTTAGGATGTAATAAAAACTGAATCATTGGATAATGCAATTCTAGAGCTCTGATTAGCTTAGCCATCATGGTATATGAGCCATCATACCCTGCCCTCCAAATGTGGTTACTGTACGCATCTGCTCAAAATTAAAAACGAGCTGAAAATTGGTTTCTTTTACAAATTAAGTTGAGAAGAATTTTCGATATTTTGTGGGTAATTTTAATAAAACAATATTATTGTTCCACTCGCACTTGTTGGATATGAGATTATAACCAACTTGGAGCTATGGACCCGTGTTGGCTATCTACCATCTCATATCCAACGTGCACTCGTGGAATAATATTTTTTATTGTTAAATAGTTATTGTAGTAATAACAGTACTTTTTAAGAACTCCAACCTTCTTTGTTTCATTACAATGATAACCTTGCAGTTTTCGCTTGCGTGATTTCCTATGGCCTGGATCATGTAACAAACAATATTGAAGTATTGGGTGTGAAATATATGATCCTCTGAGACTACCACTGTTAATTGCTTTCGATGTTTCTTTTTTTATCATTCAAAAAAACTGTTGCCTTTCTTGGGTAATTCCCACATAACTTCAGAGACAAAATTCTGCAGAAATGCAAAGCAAACCTGATGGCAATTGGCTTTTCAGACAATAGTTTAGTTCTTCAACACTTTTCCAATCTTTTTGGTAACTGTTGATGACATTTCAGTATTTGTGTTAACTGACTGTTAGCCAAGCGTGTTTTCAGTTTTATTGCCCTTTTTGTTACTCTCTGAACAATAACAGGAGAACTTGCTCCTCGAAAAAAAATTTTTCTTGTGGCGCAAATTCCAAAGCCTTTTTTTATGAAGGGAGGCATCACGAATTTTTATATTGTTTTAAGACTTTTCAAAATGGCACTGAAAACAACATGAAATAGTTTTTTCTCACTAATCAGGCATTTACGGTCTTGGAGATTGAGATATGCGTAATTTTTTCTGTTTCAATAACAATGGGGCTTACTTTGTCGAAAGTGCCCGTACTGTCCTAAAGTTGAATCTCTAATTGCCTTATCCAAGTCATGAAAGAGAAAGAAAATTTCGTCGTTCCTTGTTTACGTCCTGTATAAAACATGAAATGAGGCATTTTCACGTCGTAGTCGTGCAAAAACGGCAAAGAAATGTACAAAAAAGTGTGATGCACGTGCAAAGTTGCTGTTTTGCGTATTACCGGTAAACCTATTGCTTTTACGACGTTCTCGCTGCCGTCGCCGTCGTCTGATCTTAAGGTCCCTATTATTAGCATAAGGAAAGCCGATTTTAAATTTTGTTTCTTCTGTTCTATTCACTTTCTTAATCGCGGTCTTTACTTTCCTGTCATAATTAATTGGAAAACCCTTCGGATGCTGTGCTGCAGACTTTACCTAGAAGTAAAACTGGGACAGGGAAAGGAGATGTAACTATTCGTGTCCAGGGCCCTCGGAACGTGAGGACGCATAGTTCAGGACTCGGGGTCGTAACAGAAACATACCGCTTCGATGAAATATGAACAACATTTTCTCCTTTGTTCAACAATGTAGGGCAAGTGGCTGTGTCTCTAAGGAGACTCGTGTTTTGCAAAATTCAATGTTGTCGTGTTCGCATTACTGAGCTGATGGAATTTCATTGTCTGTATTACGTAACTCACCTAAAGAGGGAAGACTACATACTCGAACAACGTAATTAAATATCACGTTATCTTGGAGGATATAAAATACTGCTAAGTAACTGAGTCCCATTCGTGGAATCAAAATCAGAGCTTCTTTGACCGTTTAACTGTAGACATTTAAAAAAAATTGACGGAACATGATTAAGATGAACAAAGTGACACAATCGAGCTTAGTAAAAATTTACTTAAAGTCAAATCAATGAAGAAGTTAAGTTAGCGCAAAAGAAAAGAGGAGTTTAAGTTAACCGAGCTCGAGTAACTGATGGTAAATGACTGAACGATTGGTCTTAACCGAGGAATAATCGGATTCTGTTCGAGTTTGTGGTTAGTGAGACCGGAAATTAGAAACAAAATATGTGAAATGAATATAGAATTTGCCTTGCGGCTGTTTTAGACGCTGAAAGTTTTATGGAGCACCGTTAAGACCAAATGGAAAATCTCAATTAACACTACATAAAGTTAGTCTGAAATGTCGTCCATCTCTTCGCCTCACCCCAAACGGGCAGCAAGGCGAGAGAGACGTCCGAGTTCCCAGCGTTATAATGCCGTCCCGTGACGTCACAGAGTTTCGTGAAAATGGTAAGTCGACGCTAATTGTTGTAGAATACAAACCATTGTTACCTGCCTTTGTAACAATAGACTACTGCTTGCTATTGGCTAAAAAGACGGTTTCGATCACTAATACCGTTATAAACATCATGGTGTTGGCTGAAAAGCAATGCGATGGTGAGGAAATTTGCGAATCAACTTTAAAAAATAAGTACATGAATAATTATGAAGAATGTAAAAAAATAGCATTTTTCTTTGTCTACCTACAGAAATGCAAATTGATCTACTTGTTATAGTAGAATGAATATCAATTCACCAAACGTTGACTCGAAGTTTTCTTCGGAATTTCCTAATTTAAACTGGCTTACCAAATACTGGACGACTTTTATCATTGTAGTACCGGTATAGTTGCATCATCATAATTCACGAGGTTTTCACGTGGGATAAAGACAGGGTCAAAGGGTTCTCAAAAGGAGCTAACGGTTATCAATGTTTCGCTTGAAAAATTAAAGGTCTTTATTATTTGTTTACGGAATGAATAAACTCGACCGAGATTGCTCTTAATGGCCATTATCATTATTTGTTTTCTCCCTAAAATATCACCTGGCATCTCATTAATCTTCATACACGCATGGTTTACGGCCCAGACCCAACTCTTGCCATCACTAAAATGGAAGTGGTGGGTTGTCTGAATGCAATGATAAGACCCAAGGAGACAACGATCGATAATTTTTTTTCCCTTTTATTTCCTTCAGTTTGTACGAAAGGCACACGCACGCACGCATGGTCGTTCGATATTAAATAATATTCACATTGATACAGAATTTTGGTACAAGCTTTTACTTGCCACTCAGTATTAATAATATCGTTATGAAAATGGAACATACACATACATTCAGAGGTAGGCTTATGTAAGAACGACTCAACAGAGGCCGCTGAACGGTCATCCTCGGTATCTTCGGGCACTCACTGAAATTAGGGCTCCCCGGGGTTCCAAGCATTCGGATCAAAGTGGGGACTGGGTGAATAGAGAAAGGAGCTGGAAAGAAAAAAAATAAAGGCCTGATACACGCTTGGAGTTAAAATTTAATGACGCGCATATTTCTATAAACACCATCTGCACAGCAAGGGAAGATGCAAAACAGTTTCCTTCGATCTGTGGGAGATAGTCGATTGGTGAACGATAGAGAAACTTCGTTGACTATACACCTTTTCCGATTGACGGCCTTTGACAATGAAAGACAAACTATCTGGTTTCACATTTTTCACTCCATATGTAAAAAGACGCAGTTGATCGGTGGGATGCTAGATGAAAGTAAAATTCCCAAGCTGCCCATGATAAAAACAAAATGATAAGAGTTAGTGACAAGAATATGGTGCAGTCCGATGAGTCAGATTATGGTTTTGCAATAAATATCAGTGCTGGTAAAACTCTTGGTAAACAAGTCTCATGCATCACTCTCTTTCTCTGTAGAGGCAAACAATACAAATCATCTTCAGTACTTGGCTGCAGTAAAATACAAATGTTAGAGACTTCTTTTCACAACCGAAAACACAACCATAATCACAATTAAAGAGAAAATGTGTTTTTAAAATTCTGAAAAACAAACATCACCT